TTTGTCTATGTCTTGGGCTACTCAAATATTTTATGTTTTTGATACTAAATTAACATCTGAAGTATAATTTTTTATTGTTTTTATATTTTTTAATATATTTATTTTGTTCGTACAAAATAAAAAAATAATTTTTAACGATACAATACGAAATTTCAACGCGAAGCGACACGCAACAGAGAAAAATTTCAACATGGGATAGGTTAATATATTTTTACGTACATAAATCGGTTATCCGAAATATCAGTTATACGAACAACCCCAGTCCCCAATTGATTCGGAAAATCGACGCTCTACTGTAGTAGTAGTAGTAATTAAACGTTTTGTGATATGAGTAAGTATATAGCCTAAAAAAGGATTATTGTTTGCATTAATTATAAATTCATTACTCACATGACATACGCAACGATAATATTGTCTTCTTTTAAAACTCTTTCTGCCCTGTGGGAACTAAAAGGGCCTCATTTAGCAAGCCCATTACGGATTCTGCCAGGCCTACAATGGGGCGGCTGGGCGATGAGAAACTGGGGCCGACATATCAGGTCGGACAACTCCCGAAAAATTCGTGAGGATTTTTCTCCACGTTCGGATAAGGTCCCGGGTCTCCCAGAGCGGTGAGCTGCGACGTTAAACGCTTGGCCACCCGGCCGTCAAAAGCAAACGTGCTAATCAGTGCAACTTTAAAATTCAGTACATACTTGAAATCAGAACACAGTCTGTAAAATCAGTATGACTATTGACTTTAGCTATTTTAGAACTATTTTTAAGCCTTGAGGAAAATCTAACATAAAAGCTAAAAAATTATATGCACATACACACTAAAAAAATTTGGTCGTTTTATGGAGTATATGCAATTTCTAAACGTTTATTATTTCTAAACAAGTTACAACGTATTAAGTCCTTATTGTCTATTTGTCTTATTGTCGTATAATTATTTCATTTTTAACTAATAAAAATTACGAATAAACTATTCGTAATTTGTAACTACTGCCAGAAAGTCCCGCCATTGGCGCTGTTAGTCGTAGCGGCATAATTTAGAACTAATGCTTGTTAATTTTCTCCCGTTCGGTTGGCAACACTTCTCTGTAGTCTGTGAAGAGAAGGTTAAAATGGCGTCCGGTAGACGTAATCGTCGTTTCGGAGACACCGATAGTCCTATCAATTATATTCAAATAGACGGATTGGTAAGTTTTTTTTTAAAATGTTAAATAAGTATGTAATAACCATATTTTCTTATAAATAGATTGTAGTTATTTACAGTTTAATATTTTTTCAACCACGTGTATCTATTACAGTCAAGCTTATTGAATTCAAACATATTGTCTCGATTATTGTTATAATTACCATATAATTTTAATGATGATCACTTTGCATGTTTATATCTAGCTTCTATTTTCCTTTATGAGCGGCCATATTTTGGCACAATTGCAGATGTGTAAGACACTTGGGACCTTAACAGAGCTGTAGAGCTTGCCCATAGGAGCAAAAAAGTTAAAGAAACCTTACCATTTTGTGTGACTTTTTGCGAAACCTCCTGAAATTAACCTCCTTCTGGGTGTGATCAAGAGTCACGTTGCACACTTCGCTAAGACTATTGTGTTTAACTATTCGGTCTGGGTGACAACATCGGCTTTTGGTAGCCCCATTGAATGTTTGTGGATTACTTGATGTTATATGCTTTAGGCGTGATGACTAGTGTTTTTTAACATAAATAATAAATGCATGAACTTCTACTGACTGAAAAGAGTTTTCACCTTGAACCACTTGAGCTGCATTTCCATCAGAGATTCAAAAATACCTGAAGAAGAACCATTGTTGGGGTTCGAAAACGTTAGTAAAGAGCTATTTTTGTTGGTTACGATTTTATAGAAAAAGGAAAAATCACAGGTTAGGAAGAGTTTTTGTTATGGTGGAACATTGCAGCAGGATACATTTTAGGACATCCATTTTAATAGTATCTTAGTAATTTATAATTATTACAGTTTTAACTTCAAATTGTCGGGATGCATTTTGCATGATTCATTTTATCCAATTGCTGTGCAACAGATTGTGCATGAAACTAATGTTTTAGTTTATGACAGACATGGGCAAATGCGACTCCAAGAGCCGCATGCGGCTCTTTTTGAGTTACATGCAGCTCTTACTGAAAGTGTTAATTTCTGCTTTTTATTATTATTTTTACATTTTTATTTCCACAATTTTGTGAAAATATGTTTATTAAAAAAATTCAATATTTGTTTTATATTATATTTATATTATATAATAAAATTGCGGTACAGAACTGCGGCTCCCATGCATTTTGCAAAACCTACATTTTGGATCCCACTGAACTCTTGCTTGCCTGTCCCTGGTGTATGACATAAAACTTCATAAACATCATAAGCATATTTTAGAATTGGTTCATTTGCTATTCTTTTTCTTCCTCTTCAATAATGAGACAAATGTACAGGGTAAGGGCAGCCCTATGTCAGGGATCCCTGACATAGGGCTGTCCCATCTTTTGACTGTATGCAAATTGGTAGTAAAAACCAAAAACAAGGAATTCCAGTATCTTAACCTAATCTAAGTCCAGTATGTGGATAACATTTTCATCTTATTACACAAGAAACCTGACTTAAAACTCCTTGTGCAAGTTCAGGAATAACCCTTATGGGCTAAACCTGAAACTTGAACAAAAAAGCACTACTTGCATCCATTTTCTGTAATCTCCATCAGTTTTAAGGGCAGTAGTATACACACCAACATATACTGGAAACCTACATACCAGCCAATCTTTATTTCATACAACTCTTTCTACATCAAACTCTTAGCATTCAGATTTCTAATTAAAAGAGCATATACACACTGTACAAGTGTTATGGATGTGATAAATGAATTAGATTACATTATTAAACTTAATCAAACAAACAACAGCCAAATTAATTGAACAATATTAATTTGGCTGTTATTTTATTATTATTTTCGAACGTTAAAAAGCTCAACATTTGAAAATAAATGTTAGATTTTTCATCTGAGGATGGTAACTATAAGCTATTGAAAGTGCTAGTGAGTACATCTAAAATCTAAACAGTTGCAATTTGTAATGCTGCAACACTGAAGTGTTAATTATTTTAATTTATTTGAACATTGGTGTGAAGTGTATTTTATGATTATTTGGTTGATTATTAATACATTGGGTTCTTGAGATATTGATATATACTGTTAAACTTGCCATATACATGGTTATCCATCAACAACAATACACAGTCTAATTTCGGCATGTAATCAGACAAAAGCAAATCCTTGGAACAGAATACCTTAAGGAGGTGCATGGTAAATTACTTTCCTACATTTGAAAAAATCCACAATGAGATCACATGGAAAATCAACATAAGAATAGTGTATAAATGCAATCCTGCAGTTTTTAATATACTCAGAAATGATAAACTGAAAGAAAACCATTTCACCACACCAGGAGTACACTCCATCCCTCCAGAAGATCAACAATTTCAACATAAACTTGCATATGTGGAAACTACAGTGGCAAGGAGCTTGAAAGCAAGACCCAGGGAACATATGATTAACAGGAACACAAACAGCATAATCTTTGCCAACTCTGCCAGGGAGCAAGATAAGAGTTGCATGGGAGGATGCAGATAATCTGACCCAATAGAAATCTTATCATTTCCAAGTATCTGATGTTAAAAATATTTAAAGCTCACAAAAAACAAACTATATTAATTTTAGAGATGTGGACCATTTTTCTATGGCGTGGATATGTATTTTTGATCTGTCAACTTTGACACTTATTTAGTTATTATTAAATTTATTTGTTTGGTTTATTTTAAAATCTAAATTTCAATTATTGAGTTTTATTTTCTTTATTTAAATTTTATATTATATTCATTTAAGTTTAGAGGTTGTAAATTTGTACAGGTAGCCCTTAGTTTACACCGCAGTTTCGTTCCTACGAAAGCCAGTGTAAAATGAACCCATATTTACAGTGAGGTATCGGGTTAGTTTCTACATAAGTGAAAAATAAACAAATAGTTTTGTTTACTAATACAATATAATACAAAATACATATATTATAAATTTAATTTTTTTAAATGTATTTTATGATAAAATAAAGTGAAATGTTTTTATTAAAAAATCTGAAGAAAAACAAATGATATTTCAAAGTTTCAGATCTCTTACATTTTTCGGAAAAAAGTATCCATCTTTAATTGTTTAGATTTTTGTTTTCTTTCATTAAGAATTTCCGAATATGGTTGAATGGATGCGATGATGCTCCTTTTTTCATTTGCACTTTGCTCCCAATCATTGTCTAACTCATAAAGTTCATTCGTCAAACTTTCCGTAGTTGAAAGGATAATATGCTAACCTAATGTAGAGCTACAGATGAGCAGATATGCTGATTGGTCGACTGCTGGCCACCGTAGTGCATGTATAAGGTGGGAAAATTGAAATTGGTTTTGTCTTGCTAAGGAGAGTTAGATATCGTCTGTCTGATAAGAAGTAGATATCATCTAGTTAATAAGAAGGTATTGTCTGGCCAATGGGAAGTAGATTTTGTCTCACTAACGATAGTTTCTGATCACTGGAAGTGCTACTGCATCTAAGGTGTTTTCCTGAACAAACTGATATGGGATACAAGCTATTTGCATTCATTGGCGCTCTGGATTCGGACACCATCTATTGGACTATTAAGTTTAATAAGTTGATTCATGGGCACTTAAACATTTAGTATTTTAATATTAATTTAACGCAAATGTATACATACCCAATAATAATAAAAATAAAAAAATAAATATATTCAATAAAAATCTTTGTTTTAATGAATGTACAATGTCGCGGCTCAGTAAATATGTTGACACTGAAACAAAAATCAGTCTAGCATAGGGAAAATCGGGAAATTACACCACGAAATGGCAAATTGTGCAGCGGCATTATTGTGAATCGGCATAAACCGAGGGCTATCTGTATTTTGTTTGATTTTAATCTCAAAATGCTGTTTATATATTTGACTCATCAGTCTTAACTGAGGAGGACCTATTAATAGGTTGGAAATGTTTCTATGATATTAAACTGTTCTTGGAAATCAAAAGGTATGTTTCAATACATGAATGTGTGCATATATATTGGTTTCCTCAGGATTTTTGTAAGTTTTATTTCCACACATTTGTGTGTGAGAAAATAAAAGTTATAGACGTACATTCATAGATACAGGTATCCACTTGAACATCAACAATTTTAACTTAATATTACTGTTGTCATAAATATGTTAGTAAATTTAATTACTATTAGCAGACCCCGCCATGCCTTGTTGTGGCTCAAAATGTATCTATTATAAATGTATAACACTTCCTCCCTGGGGGAAAATTTTTCGAAAAATTTTATTTTAGTGTACATTCTCTTGATGTACCCTATTAAAACACAATCAAAAATGCAAAAATCCACATCTAAAATAGTATAATAGAAGCCAAGTTTTTCACGGTAAGCCTTAATCCTGTCCCTCTCCCCTGCAGGGGGAATATCGAAAAATTTCTTCTTAGTGTACATTCTGTTGATGTACTCTATTAAAACACAAAAAACCGCATCTAAAATAGTGTAAATAGAAGCAGAGTTCTTTACGGTAAGCCTCCCCGTAAGGCTTACCGTAAAGAACTGTCCATCTCCCATGTTTAACAGAATAATGTACAGCCTATGTCCACCATAAAGTTCCATTCTAAATATTGGTGAATTTTTGAAATCGGATGAGTAGTTTCGGAGATTACCTGCTGCATACAAACTAACATACATACAAACATTACCTCTTTATAATATTAATATAGATTATTATGATAACCAAGGTCTGTTTGTGGCTTTATTTCTCATCTTTCTTCTCTACAGATGGTGCCACTTCATAACACTTGTATTATTTATTTTTTTTATTACATTGATGATGATAAGTTTTTATTTAGAAGTGTGATATATTGATGTCAATATTGAATCCTTGCTACTTCTGCTATTTTTGTCTAGTCCAGATGAAATGTTAGTTATATTCTTTTCGTGTTCCAACAGAGAGTATAGGCTACATAATTTTCAAAATACTGGCTATTAGCTATTTAAAAAAAGGAGCTGAAATTGATAAAAATTTCAGCTCAGTGATATCTCATACATAGTAGTGACATCATTTACCTTATGTTGCATTTTTAAATATTTTGGCAAATGGCATAAATTTAAATGTTAAGTTTTAAAAAATAGCCACATTTGTCACTTTTACAATAATTTTTTTTTAAAAGTTCACTAGTGACCATGTGACATTTTGTTATCCAATCAGAAATAACAATTTAACAAATATGTTTAAAATGTATTATCATGCATCAATTGCATTTTGATGAACAGTATAGTTATTCTTCTTGAAATATATATATACTACTCACTCCTTTCTGTGAGAAAGTAGTCTGTCCATCATGCCCTAGGATATATATATATATAGTTTTTAGTTTTAATAATGTATGATTATTTTAAATTATAGGTGGTTTTGAAAATAATAAAACATTGTCAAGAAGAAGGAGCTGGAGTTATTGACATTGCTCAAGGAGTTTTGTTGGGTCTTGGAGTTGATAATCGGTTAGAAATAACTAACAGTTTTCCTTTTCCAAGACACACAGATGAAGAGGATTTTGATGAACGTATGTTTAAAATATATTATATTTATTTCTGCGTTTATGAAAAGAAAGTTTGTAATATTTTAAAATTTAAATATGAGGGATATACCATATTGATTTATACTTTTTTTTTTCAACACAAACAAATCACTTGTAACTTGGTAAGTCCACCTTCTTATTCTAGCCTTCCATCCAATTATACATGGATTTTCATGGAGGTGCATGTTCTCCACACACTGCCACCTATGAATCTCTGCAGTGCTCGTAATCTCTATCCAGAGAAATCAAGTCATCTACCATTGCCCTTAATGATTGTGCTTTATGATGTCGGCTCATGCAGAGACAACAGGTCAATAAATGTGCTGTGATGTTCACAGATTTCACTCCTCTGTCCAGTGCTGTCATCTGGTAGCACAACACCAATGTCCTAGCTAATGGTAACTGTCATAACAAGCCAAATGACAGACTGTGAATTGTGGGAAATTCAAAAGTGTAAATCAATATGGTATGCCCTTTGTAAGTTAAATAACTAGAATAATAAAACCAGAAAGAATAATTATGAAAAAGCATGTTGTAGATTTGACTTTGAAGATTCAAGATTAATTGCTTTTTAACTCTGAAAACTTTTGATCCTATTCAATAGCTATCATTAAAATTTTAATAATATAAAATAATTTTAATAGTTGAATTTCAAATGGAAATAATGCGTCATCTAAGACAAGTAAATGCTGATCATCTACATGTTGGATGGTATCAAAGCACTCATTATGGAAATTTTTTTAATAAGCCATTTTTGGAATCTCAGTTTAATTATCAAAATTCTATTGAAGAATCTGTAGTTTTGATTTATGGTAAGTTATTTATATAAATTCTCTGATTTTAAATTTTGTTTTGGAAATAATTTAATTTGAACTTTTTTAAAAAATAGATCCAGTGAAAACAACAAGAGGATTTCTATCACTGAAAGCCTATCGCTTAACTAAGGCAGCAATGAAATTATATAAAGAAGCAGAATTTAGTCCAGAAATGTAAATATATAAATATGAATTAGATAGATATTTGAATTTAATAATTGGAATCATAAATATCAGAATTTAAAAATAAGTACAGTGGGTGATTGGTTAGCAAACATAATCCATTCCAAGACTTTGTTTGTTAACCGATTATTGATTTACCACAGGTTTTTATGGGAATTTGATTAATTCATTCCGGAGACTCCAAAAAATAAAAAATATATACTTTTTTTTACTACGTTTATTTATATGTAATAGTAAAAATACATATATACGCAGTCTTGCATTTTTATTAGTCATGTTTTTTCCGTTTGTGGGGGTTAAAGAATCTGTCCAATGTTGATTGCTTTTCTCTTTTCTTCAGGATTTTTCGGAAGTAATTAATAGTATTGTAATTGTAGAGATCCCCAACCCCATAAACCTTATTCTGGTTTGGATGCCACTTGAATGATCGTTGTTCTGACATCCTTCCACTTCAAAAGATCTTTAGTAGCAGATATTGACATTGGTCCTCTTTCATCTTCCTCTTTTTCAAAAGAAAACACATCTCGCCGAGTTTCTTGGTATTCTTCATTTGAGAGTTCTTGGAGTTTTTCTGTCGTCAGATCAGTTTCAGATTCCATTATGAGCTCTAAAATGCTCTTTATTTCTCATATGTGATTTTCATTACTCCATTAGCAGCTTGAGACTTCTTGATATATCTTTCATAGCTAAGACTGTTCCTACTGTAGACCTGTTCAAGCCACACCGCTTAGCAACATCAGACATCTTGTGTCCACTTTCTTCCTTGGCTATTATCTCTTACTTGGTTTTTACAGTGAGCACAGTTCTTGACACTTCTCTTTTTAGGCTCCATAATATTATCAGTTTCTTTTTTAAATAAAAAATTCAGAAAAGCACTTATAAGAATTCAGATAACAGAAATCAACTAGCCCACAAAAAATGATTTAAATGCAAGGCTTGGATGAAATTCAAAATTTGGTATTAAAACGTTAACAAATATCCGATGAGACTGTTAAACTTTCACCTTTCATAAATAAACCCCAATGCAAAATTTAACAAGTGCCCGTCCGACAGTCTTGCGAATATTATAAAAAATTATTTGTCAGGAAGATAAACAAAAAGCTGGAATTACAAGGGAGAGTTTCAAAATTTGGAGGAATATTAATACTGTCCAATTGGTATTGGGTTGAGCGTCAATGTTGACATCTCATGTGTTCCGAAAGGTTTCGAATTGTTACCTGAAGAGAAGGAAAAATCAATTGGTATTCGTTATTTTCCGTCACTTCTTTTTATGTTTGTTCAGTAAAGTGTTTGTTGTCCGATCATAAAAATCTTTCACGAAAGTCTTTGCTATCCAAACTGTTCATTAACCAATCACCCACTGTAAATAAATATGTGTGCCTATGCGTATATATAAAATTTATATATATATATATGTTACTGTGAATGACTGATATCTGGTGAATGTCAACATTCTCTGTTGAATGTCAGCATTCACACAGTTGTTTTGTGTATGTACGAAATATTTGCTAAATATCATTATTTCTCACTTACATCGGCAATGTCGACATTCAGCATGCACTGATGGTGAATGTTGAATAAAAAAATTTAAGAGTATTAAACACAAATCGTGCTATTAATTAATTAATCAATCACGTGGCTTCTTTTCCATCTTTATTTAATTGATACATCTTAATAAAAATATTTTTATTATGTTAAGACAAAAATGCAACTTTTAATATGTCAAAATAGGAGAAAGCTTAAGTAACAGCACGTGTAAATAAACTGTTGAACCTAAAATGAACAGTACATTTTAAATCATTATAGAAAATAATACAATAATAAACTTCATATCTTTATCTCAACATCGGAGAATACTAATAAAAACTCTTTCTAACCTGTTACCGGTGCGTTCTCCTTCTACTAAATTGTAACGAACCAAAATAGCTCTTTAATGAACAAAAATAGCTTTTTGCTAACGTTTTCGAACCCTAATGATGGTTCTTCTTCAGGTATATTTTTGAATCTCTGATGGAAATGCCCGTAAAACTTCAAATTCGAAAATATGTATGTTCGAATGCATATTTCCCGTTTATGTCATTGTCTGTCATGCGCAGTAGCGTGGCTAGTGCTTATTAACAGTAATTTATGATTCTGTATTAACTGCGCATGACAGACAATGACGTAAATGGGAAACATGCATTCGAACATACATATTTTCGAATTTGAAGTTTTACGGGCATTTCCATCAGATTCAAAAATATACCTGAAGAAGAACCGTTGTTAGGGTATGAAAACATTAGTAAAAAGCTATTTTTGTTCGTTAAAAAGCTATTTTGGTTTGTTATGATTTAGTAGAAGGAGAACGCACCAGTAACAGGTTAGAAAGCGTTTTTATCAATAATAAACTTACACATAAATTATATGATTAATGTTATACAATCTTATTTATTGCAACAACTTAAACTGTTATGGCACTTTGAATTGGACAAGAGTCCCTTGCTTTTACAACTGCATTTATTCATGGAACACTTTTTTTTTGCAATGACAGCATGTATAGCCTTGCCCTTCACTTTTCGAATTATCTGTAACTGCTTCTCTCAGAGATACTTCTTGAGAAGAAATCTCATCTATGGAAAGTAACTTTTCTTTACAAATTATGAACTGATTACGTTATTGCATGATTACAAACTGATCTGTTAACAGTGTCTTTTATTTGGATATTGCTGATGCCTTTCCAACGACCCCTCTCATCCTCTGCCACTTGACCTGACAAACCGCTCCTCACCTCATGGGATCAAAAGAACAAAAATGCTATCCAGTGACAAAGTGGGTGGTTTCCACCCAACCGTTGCTGGGAAAAGAGAACTTGGACTACCTCTGGCTACCCACAAAGGATTTGGCAACAGACTGTTACCTCTCTGTCGACATCAACTTCTTGGGTGTCATTTTGACCTCCATCAAAGCTTATCTGTGCTTGTTGACAAACACCAGTGATTATTCGAATGTATAATAATATAACCAAATATTTGGTCTTTCACCAATGTATTTTGTATGTGTTGACATTCTCTAATTTTGGTCTTTCACAGTAACATACATACATACATATATATATTGCAAAAAGTGCATTATTATGTACAATGAGAGGGGGGTTGAGGCCTTAATCATTTTTGTAATGTCAGGAGATCAATGAACTATTGTACATATAATTAAAGGGGAAGTTATATCAAAAGTAGATCATTGTGCACAGTAGCAAAAGAGGGAGTCAAAAGTGGCTTAAAAACATTATTCATAATTAGCCTTTGATGTAATGAAGCAGAAGATTGTGTTCCACTGAATTGAGTTATTTAGCTGTGCTTCCATGATATACTCATACTAAATGCTAATATCAACATCAACAGCACATCAACACTGGGGATGTAACTCAGCACCTTGTCTGGAATCTGTTACCGGTGTGTTCTGTGAATAATAAAGTTTATCACTAACGTTTTCAAAGTGTTGATGTGTTGAGTTACATCCTCGATGTTGATGTTTAACATTTAGCAATGCTGGCTAGTAGATATCAGAAAACGCTTATAGCCCTAACTAGGGCTAGAGTGAGACTACAATTTCTGATGTAATGCAAAAAGAATGGATTATTGCCTATATCCTTTTTTCGCATTCGTCTNCCGTTGGGAAAGGAAGTCACTCCGGGGCACGGAAGGATAGATTTCCTCCCAGGGAGAATTTTAACACAAAGAAAAACTGAGAGTTTCGATGTTAATAATAAGTGATTGTTTAATATTAAACATTTTATTTTTAATTAACTCGGTCTATTTCTCACAAGATCATTGTACACAGTAGCAAAAGTGGCTTAAAAACATTATTCATAATTAGCCTTTGATTTAATGAAGCAGAAGATTGTGTTTTACTGAATTGAGTTATTTAGCTGTGCTTCCATGATATACTCATACTAAATGCTAATATCAACATCAACACTGGGGATGTAACTCAGCACTTTGACTGGAATCTGTTACCGGTGTGTTCTGTGAATAATAAAGTTTATCACTAATGTTTTCAAAATGTTGATGTGTTGAGTTACATCCCCGCTGTTGATGTTGATGTTTAACATTTAGCAATGCTGGCTAGTAGATATCAGAAAACACTTATAGCCCTAACTAGGGCTAGAGTGAGACTACAATTTCTGATGTAATGCAAAAAGAATGGATTATTGCCTATATCCTTTTTTCGCATTCGTCTTCCACTGGGTAGCAAACCTACTCAAAAAAGTGAAGCTAATGTGCCTCAACAGGGCAGTTCAGTTGTCCAGAAAACAAGTTTTCTCTAAACTAAAAAAACAACTTGAAATCAAGGATTCGTTGTTCTTTAAGGATCCATATTCAAGTTCTAATTTTGTGTTCCATTAGTTATTTGGTATATTTCACCTGAAGAAGAACTAATCAACGGTTCAAGAAATTTTAGTGATAAACTTTATTATTCACAGAATGCACNTGATGTTTAACATTTAGCAATGCTGGCTAGTAGATATCAGAAAACACTTATAGCCCTAACTAGGGCTAGAGTGAGACTACAATTTCTGATGTAATGCAAAAAGAATGGATTATTGCCTATATCCTTTTTTCGCATTCGTCTTCCACTGGGTAGCAAACCTCTGCTCAAAAAAGTGAAGCTAATGTGCCTCAACAGGGCGGTTCAGTCGTCCAGAAAACAAGTTTTCTCTAAACTGAAACAACTCCTCGAAATCAAGGATTCGTTGTTCTTTAAGGATCCATATTCAAGTTCTAATTTTGTTCCATTAGTTATTTGGTATATTTCACCTGAAGAAGAACTAATCAACGGTTCAAGAAATTTTAGTGATAAACTTTATTATTCACAGAATGCACCAGTAACAGGTTCCAGACAAGGTGTTGACTTAAATGTTAATACTAACTTTATCAATTTTGGCCAAAATATTTCTGCTTATCACAGGCTCCCAAAATATTACAGTGTAAAATCACCACCTTATGCATGCAGTCACATACAGTTTTTCTTCATTCACATGTTTGCATGCAAAAAGCAGAAATTTTTCACTCTAACATTATTTTTGGTGACCTGACATCATCAAAAATGTTAAACAAATAACATCACTAGACCCAATATAGTGTAAAGCTAGATACCAACCAATGCCAAATTCTGTCGGGCTCGATACGGCTATATTACTAAATAAATTATGCAACCAGTTTGGCACTAGAGGCGCTAATAATTATAATTATTAAAGTTATTAAGAGATGGCATCTAATGCCTCCCTCTAATGCCAAATTGGTTGCATAATTTATTTAGTAATATAGCCATATCTAGCCCGATAGTATTTGACATCGGTTGCTGTCTATTAAAAATGATATGCATTATGTATGACCTGTAGTCTCCAATTATCTCGGATCTTGAAAGCTTATAACCTGAAGCTTGAAAGCATAAGATAACCTGTGGCAATATGACCAACAATTTAAATGTTTTTGCAGGTTTGTTTTGTTTTCAAAAAATACAAAAAATCATTTTCTAGTCCTTATGAGAAACACTTTCTCTCTCCTATTCATTTATATCCAACTGAACTCATTCCACATTAGCCCAAACTGTTGTAAAATTTAAAGGACTCGCTATGGGAGTCTGGTCAAAGACACTATGTAAACTAAACAATGTATGATGATGAAATTTTGCATGTACAAAGAAGATATTACATTTTGAGGAATGGCAATTATATGCAGCAAAATTGCATGTGGTAATCAAAGAAAAAATGCTGCATTTTGCATTCAGTCCTGTAAGAAAAGAAAAAGGAAACAAAACTGTATGATTTCAGGTTAATGTACAGCCTCTTGCTGTAATTTATGTCATAAACTTAAAACATCTGAGATTATTTCTTTGTCTGCAGATTTCCATAGCTTTGCTACTGAATCCTATGTTCAGTAGGTTTTTACAGTATTGCTACTTTAAGATGGATATAAGTAATCTCTAAAAATAGTTAAATATAAGAATGAAATTACAGTTTCTATAATTTAAATATACAATGTGAAAATTTTAGTTTTAATTCTTAAAAACTGATTTTTACGGATATGATACACATAGTAAGTTACAAATTATATATGATTGATATTCTGAAAAAATTTAAACTACCATATTTACTTGCATATAAGATGACGTTTTTATTCATTTTTCACTGCTTCAAAAACTTAGGTCGTCCTATATGTGTGAACGAAGGGTTCTTTGCATTTTTGCAATAATTTTTGTAAACAGTAATTTTTGTATTTCAATTTTTACCAGATTCTCACCTTCTTGTTTTTAAAAGCAAAAGTATTTTATCTGGGTCATTTGAATCGTTCTTGTGTATTGTCAGAAGTAAAGATAAATAACAATAGGGAAAGCAAAGCTTTTGAATTGAATTCCAAAATCACACAGGAGCTGGATATAAGTTCTTATCCATTCCCATGTGAAACAGATGATTATTTGGGAATTAGAATTTGGAGAAACTCTTAAGTGTAATCGACGGAGAGTGGATTCGAGTGGCAAAAAATGTTCCTGATTGTCCAGCTTGACGTGAACAAATTATGTTATCGATTTTATGAGATTTTTCCTTAAAGTTTAAAATGCCAGTATTTTTTGTGGGACAATGTGTGCATTTATGTGCATTTGATATTTTTTTGTGATTAAATGAAATAAAATTAGATTTGTATTAATAAATGTAATTTTCTTTTTTAAAGTCACACTTTGTCCTATATGTGAGTAAATACGGTATTTAAAAATACATTAATTATTAACAGTAATTTATATTAAATTTTTAAAAAATAGACAAATTATATCATTTAAGGAAATTAAAAAATATACATCATTGAAGTCATAAAAATTTTTGGAACTTATTTTTAATTTTAATAAAGTAATTTTCTGCCTTAGGCCAAAAACACACATGTGTAAAATTTTGCTTAAAATCTATCATAAAACAGAAAACGTAAAAATTTTTTTCAAATTTTGGCTGAAACAGAACTGAAAATAGAGTAGAGCATGTCTCTAGTTTTAACGCCAAAATTCCTCCAATAACGAGAAGTCTTTTCTGTGACATCAAAGTAGACATGTGGTTTTTATTCTAACAATGGCAGCAACGAGGGTTAAACCTACAATTGTGACAGTCTCTAAAAAACGAAAAATAAATGAAATAGAGGAGTTTATTGAATCTGTTCGACCACATCAGTGTCATGTATAAAGACACTGTATTTAAACGTTTATGGATGGCTATAGGTGCAAAATTTGAAATATCAGATAGGCCTAGTATAATTGATATATAGGCCTAGTATTTAGATCACATGTTCTTTATTTGAATTCAGAATACAAGTCTATTAATTTAAATTTTCTATATTATAGCAGAGGAAGGTACAAAGGGATAGATAGCCTATATGAAATGAAAAAATTAATAAAATTAGCACCGTTGGTGGCAGTGCTCCTATTTGGCCAGAATTTTTATGTATGTGTGTTCTGGCATAAAAGTGTAAAACAAGAAACTGAACTGAAACCTAATTTCTCATTCAGTTTTCTGCCATACAAATTTATGCATGTGTGTTCCTGGCCTTACAAGAAAATGTCAAAAAAAATATATATATATTTGAAATTCTTGAGATTGAAAATAGAAATGAACATATGTCTTGTTTATATTGTTTGTACAATTGAAATATAACTTTTGTTTTTTTTAACTCTGCTCTGTGGGCATTAAGAGGACCTCTTAGCAAGCCCATTATGGGTTCAGCTGGGTGATGAGGGACAGGGGCCAACATATCCGGTAGGACCATCCCTGAAAATTTTCTGGGAATTTTTTGACCTGTCCGGATTCGATCCTGGGTTCTTCAGAGCGGTAGACTGCCACCTTAACCATTCAGCCATTTGGCCGTCATTGAAATATAACTTATAGGAATTATTTTTTAGAATATTTTCATTTTTGTTGAAAGTGTATTTCTTAGATTAATAAAATTATAAATTAATGAATGATTATTAATGCTTGATTTATTTTCAGGTTGAAAAATTGCCATATGTCTTATCAGAAAATATTCACAGAAATACCAGTAGTAGTAAAAAATTCCCACTTAATCAATGCTATGTTGTGTGAGTTATCAGAATATGTACCAGATGATGAAGGAAAACAGTTTTTAGATATGGGAACAGCGTATGTATTATTTAAAATCTTTTAAGTATTATGTACATTTATAAAGTTTAAAAAAATGAAAAATAATTGTAATTTGTTAGTATATTGTCAAACTTTTTTTCATTGGTATTTTAACCAAATTCTATTATACTTTTTAAGGGGACACATGTGCAGAAATCTCACTAAAATCGACCAAAATATCGATTATGCATAGTTTTCTACACCAAAATCTATTAAAATTTTTCAAAAATAAAAAATAATAAAATCAAAATTAATAAAAATAAAATAATTTACTTTGATATGTCGTCTGCTATTTTTCTAAAATTGCCATTTTAGTCAAATTTTGATGGCAGTCATAGTTGATACTTTCAAGATGGTGGCTCATGTCATATATCATTCAAAAGCTTGTCTCTTTGTGTTTCCCGCTCTCAACTTTGTTTAGACAAAGGAGTGGTCTGTTCTTTTTTATTGGCTAAACTTTCAATCTTATACTTGCTGTGATTGGTCAGAGGATATTTTCATGACTGCCTATTGGTTATTACCAATGCACTTGTGCAGTGAGAGTGTCTTGTTGCTTATTGAATAGTAGAGTGTTGTATTATTTTTTTGAGTGTTTACTAGTTACTTATCTGTGTAAAATTAACGTTTTTTTTAGTTTTTAAAGATGTTTTTTATTTAAATAATTATGCCACGTTCAAAAAGATTGACAAAACAAACATTTGGACTGAGAAGGAAAGGAAAACCGCGATGTCAGAGTGGAGGAAGACAGCCAAAACAAATAGACTCTGAGAATAACATGAATATTTGCAAGTGACAGTCAAGAGAATTCTACATTTTCTGAAGAATTAAAAGCACCAAATAATTTTGATGAAAATATAGAAACGATTTCATATAAAAAACACCATCCAGCAAATTAATTTAATACTTTAAAAACGTTTCCAACCGTTTTCAATGGTCTTCTTCAGTTGCATAAAGGAACATTAAAATAAAACGCCAAGAATTTATGTAACTGAAGAAGATCATTGAAAATGTTTTTAAAGTACTAAATTAATTTGCTGGATGATTAAAGGTGGAGTTTATTTAGTTATTCTAATTCCAGTAGACTGTAATAGTATTGTTTGTTTTCAAAAACAGCAATATTTTGAGGAGATGGCTACGTGTTTGGAAAATTAATGCCCTAGATATAGAATTATTAGTTTAGAAGCAATTGAAAATATAATAAAATCATTTGCATGCCCAAAATGTTATCAGCAGAATTTAAAGATAATAGAAAAAAGTAAAGGTATTGCTACAGTTTTTAATGTTTTTTTTTCCATATTTCTAATGAAATAATTACTAAAGTAAATTCATTGATTTTTAACAAAGTAAATAAAACTTTTAATATTAATATTTTGGCTGTAATATCAGTGAAAAATAATGGTTTTGGGTATATTAGATTAACAATTTTTTTTTCTGTGATGAATATTTCAAGACCTTTCCATCTGAAAACCTTTCAATCTATCTCTAAGACAGTTGATAATGCAGTATCTGAAGTTTTAGAATAACGTTTTCAGGAAGTTGCTAAAATTATAAAAACTGAATATAAAAAACTGGATGCAGTTAATGATATTATTATTAATATTTATGTTAGTTATGATGGCACAAGTCGAGGTCATTCATCATTATTTGAGATTGGTGCTGTTATTTTGACAGGTCTTGTTCTTGATTTTGCTGTCATGAGCAAATATTGTCATGGTTGTTGCTTAAAACATCAAGTCCTAAAAAATTTGAAAATCATGACTGTCAGATAAATTACAGTGGATCATCAGGTGCCATAGAAGTTGAAGTAGCATTACAACTATTTGGACGCTCAATAGAAAAATATGGACTTCAATATTTGACTGTTCTTTCTGATGGTGACTCCAAAACATATCATAAAAGTTACAGGAAAATAATATTTATTATGTTACAATTATATAATTAGCAAAGAAGAATGTATAAATCACATTTCAAAATGAATGGGTTCAGCACTCAGAAAATTAAAAGAAACAAGTAAATTGACTGGAATAAATTTAGGAGGTTTGCCTCACAAATGAAATAATAGAAAAAATACAGTCCACTATAATATATAAAAATAGCCCCCTATAACGCGGTAGATACATTCCACTTTATAAGAATTTCACGTTTAGGAATCCTTAAATACATGAGCCAATCATAGCCAAGCATGTGTGCAGTTTATGGACTACGGCTGTTTGAAAGGTTTTCTTCCATAAAATTCATTGATTCTAGACTAATTCGACTCAACATTTCCAAAACACGTATAATTTTTTGGGAATAATCCGTATAAACTATGCTATAAACAAAAAATTGTAGGATTACTTACCGAGTGTGCTCCATTCGACGATGCCATTGCTTAAGCTTGTTTTTGTTGCAGAGAAGTGCATCGAATGGCAGGCGCGTCTTCTGATAAGTTATTTTTCTGCAAAAAATTCGTTGAACTTTGGAGACATCATTAATATAAATAATTTTTATGGCTGTTGAATAAGAAATGTTTCTTTCACAAGAAATGTATAAAATTACAGTGCTGTATTAGACTTACGGTACCTAATTTACATACTGTACAGACGATAGTAAATTCAATTTACCTGCCTAAACTCTCCGTAGAGTGGTGCTGGACGGTGGAAAATAGTTTGGCTGCTTGTCCACTATTGGTCCAGATTCAACCAATCCTGTCGCGACATGAGTTGGCGATGACATTTTACGAGTCTCTTTTAGCGTCCTTATACGAATACTGTCGCAATTTTTTTGCCATGTTATAAGAATATCCGTTATAGGAACCCACATTATAGGGGGGGGGTCTACTGTATACAAATAAGTATTAAATGATATTATTATTGTTTGACAATGTTATGAATATGTAATATCTTTATTTCTCGATGTTGATTATTGTTAACTTTGTTTTTAGAACAATTATTATATGATTTAAATTTAGATATATTACTTTTATTTTAGTTCTGTTCTGGAAAAAAATCTTCAAGCTTTGATGGAGTGTGTAGATACTGTTAGCCAAGAAAGTAACAAACTTACAAATTATCAACGACAAGTTTTGAAACAGCAACAAGCTAAGCATCAGTATTTGCAAAAACGAGTAAGTTATTTTCTATTAGTTGGCATATTGTCAGTTGTAAAGGTTAAATTTAGACATGTTGAAAAAACTTTATTGACAATTAACTCAATAATGATTACAATTCAGTTTGGTAGGTAATCACCATCAATGTCTCGCCATCTTTGCTGCAAACTTTCAATCTTGTGAGCATAAAATGGCTGGGGATTTTTTTTGAAGAAAGTCCTGGGCATTGTTTTCACAAGAGAACTATTACCTGATCCTCATCAATGGTGGAATTGCTGCCTGGATGGGGTTTATCTTGAAGTGAGGAATCTTCCTTAAATTTCTTGATCCAGTTTTAGCAGATCTACTTGCCTCACAGATAACAGATGTGGTCTGGTTTGAAATGATAGAGCAATAGCATGTGTTTTGAAAGTTTCATCAATTGCTGATACATCAATTTTCAATAGAATGTGATGAAATGTTTCCTGGTTAATCTACCTATATACCCAAATTGAACATTTTAGAACAATTTTTCCAGAAAAATTTCTAGAAAAAATTTATTATTTTGAAAAAAATCATAATGTCTAAATTTCACCTTTACATTCTCATAATAAAGTATTTAAAAATAAAATTTAATGATATCTAAGAAGTAAACTCACATATTTTATCTTTCTAAAACTGATAACATTATCACTTTAGTTATATTAATAAAATTTACATAAACCAATTGTTTCTATTAGTTAATAAGTTACATTTTTTAGTATATACTGATAGGTAAACTGTGCAGATGTTTTTAGAAAATAATAATAAATAAGTTTATTACAAATACATACAAAAGACTTGAAAATAAAACAAGATACATGTGCTGTACAAATGTATGAGCCTGCATATTTGATCTGCTAAACAAGTTAGTAATTGTAAAACAGGTACAAAGTGCTGATTGTCAGGCAATTTTTATAGATATAGAAGCTTATGGGAACAAACGATTATAAATTTCTAAATATAAGGATTGTTTGTTTTAAAAATCTAAAACCTCTAAGAAGTTTACAAGGTTATTTCTGTATGTTGTTACTTTTAGTTTTCTATATAGCATTAGAGTAAAGTTATGTTTTTAAGCTACACATAGATTTAATTTACATAGAACATTTTTACTAACTTAATTCAGTTATTTATATTATGGCTTATCACACCAGTGAATATGGAAACAAAATTTATTATATACAGTGGTGCCTCGTATAACGTACGCCTCGAATAACGGACTTTCTGTTTGACCGTTACGTGACTCGAGCAACGGACTTGCTGCGAACAACGGACTTTCCGTTCGGCAGTTACGTGAGACGAACAATGGACTTTTTTCGAACAAGTGCGAATGATGTTTCCACTCTTTTGCCACTGCCAATGACAATCTGCTATTTTTAGGATATATTAGTATTATTAGAATGTATTATTAGTATATCTGAAGTAGAAATGTAATGTAATGTGTGTTGACGATTCAAATAAACGAAATGTAATTGTGTAGATGCTGAGGTGGCGGGACGAAAAGAGGTTGTAAAAAACAAACGGAGGGAGAGTAGCTCGTAGAAGTGTTTAGTAATCTTAATTAATAAAGAATTATTCGTATCATATAATCTGGCAAGTTAAGTCATTTATAATGCATCATGGCTTCTAAAAAAACAGAAAGGTAATTTCAATTGAAACAAAGCAAGAAATCATCAGAAGGAGTGAAAGTTGACAAAAACTTCCTTGTCGAATGGGGAGAGGTTCAAGAGTTTACGTTTACCAACACTCATTATCCAAACAGAGCTGAGGCTAACAGGATCAATGATCTCTACGATGACACCTTTGTCCGTCATTTCCGACAGGTGTTAAAGAAGAAAGAGAAACAGACCACCTTGGTCATGTTTTTCAAGAAGCCAGTGGGCAAAAAACAAAGGATGGAACAAGAGAAGTTGACCCTGCAAGTTCCGGTAGCCTCTCCCGAATCTGACTCCGATTAAAAAACAATTAAAAAAGACCCGCTGCAATGTGTAAAAAGTCTGTATCTGTATGAATGTGTAAAGAAAGTGTTCTTCCACCTCCTCCTCACAACATCTGACTACCCGGCATAATTGGTGTCTGCTCCATTTTCATTTTTTATGGTACAGTACGGTTATTTTATGCTGCGGAACGAATTATATGTTTTAACATGTATTTCTATGGGAAAATGCGTTTCGTATAACGGACGTTTCACTTAACGGACGTGCACCTGGAACGGATTAAGTACGTTGTACGAGGCACCACTGTATTTACATTTGTAAAACAGAGATTTTACAACAATAATTAAAACTATTATGTATATAATATACTCAAAATGCATTTTGAACTTTAAAATAGTTCCTCTTCAGTTGGTGTGTCAATTAAACTTGAAAAATAAAAAATACACATAAAAGTTATATTAAAACACCAAAATAATGAAGAAGACATCATACTTAAGATACTGGTGTTATATCAAGTGCTGTACAATAAAGTCTTTTTCATATTTTCAATAACCCAGCCAGCTGTAGATGTAGGGTGTCTCAAAAAAATGTATACACACTTTAAATAAGTATAAAGTCAGTGTTTATTAAAATACATTTCATTTTCAAAATGTGATAGAATCTACAGACATTATTTAATTGTTTTGTCAATGCCTGTTTTCAAACTGATGTCCATTCTGGTGCAGGCACTGCTGACAACGCAAAGCAATGGAATTGCAAACATCATAAAGCATTTCATTTGGTATTTGTGTGCATTCTCATTCAATGGCTGCTCTCAATTCATCAACTGTTGAAGGTTTCATAGTATAGACTTTGTCTTTTAAGTTTCCCTGTAAAAAGAAAAAAAGTCTAGTGGTGTGAGGTCCGATGAACGTTGAGGGTATTCTACAAAACCCCTTCGTCCAATCCACCTGTTTGGCAAGATCTCATCACGGTCAGATCATAAGTCTGATAAATCTGCTGCTTTTCCCATGACACAGCCAAAAACTCTACATTCAGAAACACAGTTTACTGGCTGTTTATAATTGGCAGTATGAGCCATGCAAATGCCATTGTTTTGTCTCTGGGCGAGCTTACTTCTCTTGGTTGGAGGTGGTCATAATGTAATAGCTTATTGGTGTATGTTAAGGCTTAAATTAGTAGAAACATTCAATGAAATTAGGGGCAAAAAGCAAAAAAAAACAGTACATTAATTTACATAGTTTAAAACTGTACAAATGTCTGATCTTGCTAAGATTACAACTTTCTTTTTTTTTTCATAGTATCTGTTACAGAAAAATATTTGGTTGCTACAGATTACAGTTATATATCAGATTTACCTCAGTCATGACTAGGCTCAGATCAGGTAAAGATAGATTGAAAGATTTATAAAAAGCAGGGTATATATATTGAAACTATTTAATAGAAATGACAATAAGTACATCCTTTATTATGTAGGTTCTGCTTACTGTTCATTAGAAAATATAGTTAAGGAACATTACTATTCGGTCATTGCCTGATACATCCTTAGCAAAATGGACAATAGATAAAGAAGTAAAGATTTTTGGAACAGGCCAAAAATATAAGATGCCAACATTAGATGCTATTAATTATCATCATCTAACTGTAACATTTTACACTAACAAAATTATAAGCCTAACATTATCAAAAACAAAATCCTATACTAATATCTTGTAAACCTAAAACATATTTTAAGCAAAAATTAGTTGAAGTTTAATGGCAGACCAATATACATTTAATCAATACTCTATTTCATTCACAAGTAAAGTGAATGAGTCCATTGGCATCTTTGTTTTTTATATTTGTCCAACATTTAAATAACAAGAAGACTTAATATACCAAAAGGTAAAATGATTTTGGAGCCATTTTTTGATGATGTGGAAAAATTGTTAGAGATCATTGAAGTGTGAAGTTTCTTAACACCTAGTTCACATATTTTAAACAGGAAATTATGGTAATTGTTTTTTATAAGTTGTATTTTGAATTTTTAATTGGGAGAAATTGTAGAAATGAATTGGTGTAAATACATTTTGGATGTAAAATTTTAAAATAAAAGAAGATAGTATAATAATATTCAAAGCAAATAAACTGAAACCTAAATTAAATTTTGATCAATTAATAACACTACTTATTTTCAGTTATTTTTTCGAATGAAAATATAACTGCCAGTAAATAGTTTACATTGACTGAAATGTTTTGAATAACAATAGAATATAGTTTAATAACTTAATAAGAAAACTTCAACTATGTCATATTAAAAAATATTTTTTAACCATAAACAAGGTTATAAACTTCAGTAAAAGTTGTATGTTGTCAAGGATCTAGGAATGAGTCTCTATTGTTAACATTAAGATATGACCTTTGCTTTAAGTTTAGTATGATTAAGTTATTTTGTTTCTAATTTGTTTTTTAATTCTCGGGAATAAACATAGACTATGTTAATATAGCCGAGACACTAAGGCTTTCTTGCTAATTTTAATAATACACTTGTGCAAGAGAGATTTAATTAAGATAACCGAAATGGAGAAGTTTAAAATTCTATTGTTCAGAGTAAAATTTGATTATTATATTTGAATCTGTAAGAAAAAATTTTTAATTATTTTATGCACAAGGAAAATTTTGGATTTTGTCATAATATGTTGAACATCATATCTGAAATACAGTACATTTCTGTTTACAGGCACAAGAAAATGCATCCAGAGCAGCAAAAGGTGAACCACCTCTTCCAGAAGAAGATATTAACAAATTATTTAAACCCATACCACCTCCATCTCGCTTGGATGCTCTCTTGATGTGCGGTCAAATTAATACGTATTGTCAGCAGATGTCACAGTTTGCCGCACAAAATATTGGAAAATTATTTATCGCCGAAGCCTTACAGCAACAGCAAGACAAAATTATAACTTAATATTCTTAATATTAATGTGTTGCAATTTTGTTGTTTTTGTTCAGTCAAATTGGAACATAATAAACTGGGTTATTTTTAATTTTAAAGAAATACAAATAAAAGGTTTTCTTATAAAAATTAATTTTAATTCTAATTTATTATAGTTTTAATTAATATTTACCAAAATAAATCAGAAATTATTGTATGGGGTGATGTAACAAAAATGCTTCATTTCCAAGAATTTTTATACAAAATTTTATGGAACCACTACTGTGTAAATTGTGGATTAGGAATGTTAATTTTGAAAAATCTACATTTAAACCTTACATTTATTCAAAATTTTTTCATTTTTCTGTAAATTTTGATTAAAACTAGCAAGGAATAGACATGACACTTTTTCATCCTGTTTAAACAAATATTTTAATTTTGTTATTGTAAATTATATTTGAATTAAAAATTTAATAACAATATCTGAACATCACTTAATTCAAATAAATCATTTGTTAAAAATGCTGCAACAAAATTATCTTAATTTCTTTTTCTTAAAAGCAAGTAATGAAATCAACTTTTGTATTGAATCAGAATAAAAGAGAGATGTTTAGAAATAGTTACATTTTCATAAGAAACAAATTAGGAGGTGTCATGAGAAATGTATTTGAATCTAATTAGAATCGTCATAATCTATTGAAAGTACTTTAAATTAGAGCATTTATTTCTATGTTTTTTTTTATGTTAACTTTTTTTTATTGCAAGTTGGGCAAAATAGAATGGATATTGTTTAAGTTCACCAATTTCAATTTAGCAATAAAAACTGATAGTGACATTAATGCAAGGTGTCAGCACATTATGGACTTATGTGACAATTTTTTCATTTTGGCTCTTTCTGCCTTGTTAGCACTAACAACGTCTTTTTTTTTAATACCCATTGTGAGTTTGTCCAAACCCACCAGGGCAATCCGGTGGTGAGAACCTGACGCATCCCAGAAGGACTGTCCATGAAAAATTCTAGTAGCTAATAATAGACTGATACCTTAACCACTGTGACCATCTAGCTGTCCACCTATATGGTACTTGTGTGTCTATCATGAGCAGGTCAGATTTGCAATACCAGTAGGAGTTAACATAGGCAAGAAACAAATTACTCCTATCCTTACTATTAAAAATTAGGGGAATTTGAACCCTGCCCCTCAGAGCTATGATATAATATATAATTGTATTAGCCTATTTGTTAACGTTTATTACAGGATGATCCAAGCAGTTAAAGGCCGTCTGGGAGATCTGGATTGAATCCAGGCAAGTAAATCCAAGAATTTTTCACGAGCAATCTGTTTCAGATGTCAAGAGTATTCATCACCACCATCATGCCATCTTCATTATAAGCATTAAGAATAGTCCTCTTAGTGTTCATACCATAGTAAAAAAAGAAACACATTTCTGAAGTATTTGTAAATTCAGTGTGCAATTAGATAAAAATGTAAATTTTATATATATACTTGTAAAAGTTAAAAGTGTAATTGGATTTAATTTATAAATACAAAATTTCCCAATAATTTGTCAAAATGATAAACATATATTATGGACTAAGTAATTAATAGGGAATTATTTGTAATGCTCAGCCATTATGAATAATTAATGGTGGTGCAACCTGACCAGACATTATAAACACAGCTACATTCCCTTTGGTAATTTGATGTGGGCTCGATCTACTGTAGGGAATTCGATCCCGGTCCTTATTTCTAATCCCGGGATTTTGGGATTATACTTATTCGATCCCGGGATTATTTCGGTATTGAGGGTTAATAAAAAATAAGAAAATCTTACAGAAATCAAAAATCAACGTATTTTACGGTATACACCTAGTTAATTTAATTACTCTAACTAATCAGACTTAGAATCAGACTAACCAGACTTAAAATCACTGTTTCATGTTAAATTTATTCTTTTTTAAGCATCACTGAGATCTCTCTAAACTCTCATAAATTGAAAAAACCTTTATGTAACAAACTATGCAAATAAACGTTGAAAATTAACAAAAATCTCTCTTAACATCGACTAAATAGACTACTTTTATATAACAACCTAGTAAGTAGGTAGTAAAGTAAGTTTCTTAGCAAAAAGTATTTAAAAATAATATTAATCAGTCACATTTTTCTTAAATATAAAGAAAACTAATCTAATAGGAACATTTTAATTTGAATTGCGAAAATATGATCTGAGAAATAACAACGCATCCAGTGTCTCATCACCAAGTCTGCTTCTCAATTTGTTGCACATATATGCAGCTGCTAAGAAAACGCGTTTAGGTTTGATGGAAGTTGGAGGAATCGTTAGTAAATACTTATAAGCTTCGAGGACACGGGGAGGATGGAAGAAAACAGTCCGGTCGACACGGATCGGGATTGTAGGTGTAAAGGCTACAATCCCGATTGTTTCGATCATTGTAAGCATGTCTTTCTAAAAATAAACGCGTTAATTTTGTAAATTCGGTCTCTGTGTGAGTCTCTCAGCGTCCAGCAAACCACTACCCCGAAACGTAAAAAGACTTTCTCGCATCATCCTGACAGATCGCGGGCAAGGCGAGGGTCGTAACCTTTTCACCTAAGGTCGAACCCCCTAAGCGAGAGGCATCGGGTCTATATTAACTACACTGGCAAAACAAGATGGCTGACACATTGACAGGTAAAACGCACTGAGTAGTGCTCTCGACTGCGCCAGAAAATCGATTGGCGCCCGCGAAAATTCAAAAATACAAAAATGAAGTATATTACCAAGTAACCCAGTGAGAACTGCTTGCCTATCATTTTAGTTGAAAATACAAGAAGTTTTATTCCAAGCAAGCATCGCAAGCCCGCTAGGTTAATTTCTGCTGCTTGCTTGGAATAAAATTTCTTGTATTTTATATTAAAATGATAGGCAAGCAATTCTGTTAAAAGCACTGGCACTGAACGTTTCGCTTCATGCAGTCTATTTTGCAACTTTTTTTAAAAAATGATGTCAATCCCGAAAATCTCGGGATTAGGAAAACTTAATCCCGAAAATTTTGGGACTGAAAAGTTGTCGGGATCCCGGGATCCCGATTTTCGAGATCCCGGGATCAAATCCTCTAACATCTACTGGTACACAAATCCTTACTCACAAAAATTAGCTGCTGGGTATATGGAATTTGATGTATCAATCATTTTCTCTGCTTGCTTCTTAAGATTAGGCAAAGCCATTTCCCTTGTTTTAGACATACAGTAGAGCCTCGATTAACCGACACCTCGGTTAACCGACCTCCCTAGTCGGCAAATTTCAAATGTCCGCTAGTGATGTGGCGCTACAACATTTGGCTATGTCTTGGCTACTTTAATATTATTTTTACGTGTTTTAGCTGGCAACACTTATTCGACCATGAAAGGGAGCCAGTATTTAAACGAGGCTTAACTTTCTAATTTTTAATGATACAATAGCGACGATTATTATTTTAAAAAATTTTTGTTAGGCTTAACATCGAAAATTCAACGCAAAGTAGGTTAATAGCGATATACTAATATACTAATTACATGGGATATAATAATATACTACACTAATAATGGATTTTTTCATACTTTTCGGTTATCCGACCAACCCCAGTCCCCAATTGAGTCGGATAATCGAGGCTCTACTGTACTTCTTAATTTTTCTTGTTTTTGGATCAACTGTTTGGATTCTTTCTTCGTCATTCACCGACTCTGTAATATAAATAACATCCTGATATCCTGGTTACAGGATGATAGTATTAGATTTAACCATGCTGGTTTCCATTTTGGAAATCAGCATGGTTAAATCTGTTTCATGCGAAAACGATGTAGATCTTTGAACTTCATCAGTTATATTGCTACGCGAGGGTGATATCAAATAATCTTTGTAGTGTTTTCTTGGACGGTACCTGATCCTTCAGAGTTTGCGCAACTTTGACTTACTTTGTTGTTAGTTTTTAAAAGTGTCTCTAGATCTTCCTCCGTATTAACGTTGGTTAATTCGTCAGGTATAAAAGCTTTTGTTATTCTGAACAACAACATTTGTCCGGATGCAATTTTATCCTAAGAAGCGATAAAAGCGAGGGATTTGACCTATCCACTCACAAGTTTCGCCATCACCCCACTGATGACGAGAAAAGCTTAAGTTTAAAATTTGAGCTCTCTAGACCCAGTGGTGTTCTTTCTCTAGTACCATTTGCACCGCCAAATGAACGAGAAAGAGAAAATATTACGGCTTTTGTGCAGATCTTTGCACTTTTCAACTGCTTATATTTCGGCAACTCCTCTATAGAAAAGCCTGAAATTTTGCACGTTACCTAAGAAAAGAAGTATCTTTCGAACGAAATATTCACATTTACTACAGACGCTTAAAAGACGGAGAAATCGGCAATTTTGATTTCTGTATCAGTGAATTTTCCACTTGGCGCTGTGACTGCGTTACAGCAGAACGGCCTTTTTGCTACGGAATTGACTAATTCGGCGCCGTAAATGCGCGACAGCAGTTTTGTTTGTGAATTCCCGAACAAACACCTATTATATTGTCAAATTCATCGTATACTATTTAATTACTTTATCGTCCGTTTTTATATTAAAAATATTCACGTTATTGTAAACCTAAACGACGACAGGGTCGGAAATAAATATTGATAAAAGTAGAAACGTTTCAATAAATCTAAAATTGTGCAACTTTAATATTTATTTTGATAAATATGCAATCTTAAAAATTAAATTTCACATTAAAGTTTATTAAATATGAAAGTTTAAATACACTTCAGACAATTCGATGTACAAATTTAATTGTTGAAGTAATTTTAATTCTGGTTCGGACGTATACTGACCACAATGACAGTCGAACACCGGTTTAAATACAGTTTGAATGTCCGTACAGTATAAGTTGCCTTGTCCGTTTATAGACGATTAACAGAGTCTTTAAACTGGTAACATAATGTTTTGTTTTATGTTTTGCTTGTCACATTGCAGATAATCAGACTGTCGTTGTTCTATGGACTTTAATCTAATCGAAGTTGAACAAAACCAGTGCAGAAATGTCTGTCCGTCAATTCAAAGCGAAAAAAAACCAATCCGGGATGAAATGTCAAGTCCAGTAAATTAAGTCGTAGCCGGGTGAAACGTCATTTC